CTGTGAAATAATTCCTAAATAAGGAACGCTTATAACAGCATGGTGATGATATGCCAAACTGTAGCCTTTATAGTAAATTGTGAGAAACCTATAATTAAAGAAGCATCTGCATGCTGTGCTGTACTTAGTCGCTCAGTTGTGTCCAACTCTTTGCGACTCCGTGGACTGTAGCCCACCAGGCACCTCTGTCCATGGGGATTCTCCAGGCAAGAATACTGGAGTGGGTTTGCCCTGCCCTCCTCCAGGGGATCTTCCCAACCCGGGGATGAAACCCAGGTCTCCTGCATTGCAGGCGGATTCCTTACCATCTGAGCCACCAGGGAAGCGAACTTATTTAATCAAACTGCATCCTGGTCCTTTGTATTATTCTTTTTTGTTACATAACAATGTGTACCCAATTTTTAACTTATATTTCCAACTCATTTTACAGTTAGGATCCCCTTTTAACAAATACGATTATAGCAGCCAGTTCAATGTAATAAAAATATTTCTTCTTCTGGCCAACAGCCCATACTAACACTCCTTTGCTGATGGAGATCCAAGACTCCTTTTGAAGGAAAAACCCTGTATGAGAAAGACATTCACAAATCCCTGTCCATTAGGCAGTAAATCTACTTAACAAAAAGGTTATCCTTTCAGCAGAGTATTGACATAAAGTACAGGTTTGCATACCTGCACAGTGTTAAATAACTCTCAACAAAAACCTGACTTTTTCAATGTTGCATTGATTTTATTTGGGGCTTTATAGGGCTTTTTGCCTCATAGAGCTCCACAGGTTCCAATCAGGTCTGGGTAGAGGACTGTGGGAATCTCACCCCAGTCGTCCAGGGCAACAGATCCCCTGACACCCTAGCAAAGGAAGCAGAAGAGAACATGTGCCTATCTGCCCTTGTCATTCCCCGTATCAGCCAATCAACTGTGCTAACAGAAAGCAGAAATCTCACTCTCATCAAGGAAAAGCTACATTTCACTTATTTTTTTCAATTTATTTTATTGACGTATATTTGATTTATAATGTTGTGTTACTTTCTCCTATATAGCAAAGTGATTCAGTTTTACATATATGTACATATATATTATATATATGTACATATATATATTCTTTCTACATATTCATTTCCATTATGGTTCATCACAGCATATTGAATTAAGTTCCCTACACTATACTACTTTTCACTGACATTTGAAAGGGTTTTGGTAATTATATTAGAATATTGGAATGCCTAAGTAAAAGTTGGAGAATTTTCAATGTATGAAAGAAAAATTGTTATGAATCTACCATGTGTCTCTGGGACAGTGGGTTTATGTGAGCAGCCAGATTCTCTGCATTTACATGAGTACTTTCTTGCCGTAGGAGTCAGGTATGTGTTTGGGTTAGGGCACCCTCCTGCCAGGCTTCAAATTAGGTGAGGCTGGTAAAGTAAATAAAAGGTAATGGATTGTGTCCATTCATGACTTCATTCCATCCTGGGAGTGACTTTATCAATAACTACTCGAGGGCAAGACTTGGCAATAAGCATGTTCAGTAGATGTCTGCCGGCAATAGAAAGCTGCTTTTATTTCCTAAGGTGTTTGAGATGTGCCAGACTGAAACCCTCTTCCCTCACTGTTGGATACATCTAGTGTAGTTTTCCGAAGATGATTAATGGTTTCTTTCTCTAGGCTCATGCAGCTAATTACACCCAAGCTTCTTGAACTGTCTTAATCAAATTCACACACAGGTAGGAGCCCTGCAGGACCCAGGAGTGTGATGAATCAGGTTCCGTGTGTTGTGCTTTCATTTGTCCTCTCTGGTCAACACTCGTTTTCTCTGTGCTCACTTCGCTTGCTGCCCTGTGAACTCAAATTTAAGGGCTGTGTTTAGTTGCGTGTTAGGATGGGATACCGGTGGAGGGGTGCATTTTAACAGTATTTTGCCAAATTTAGATTGGGTTGATTTTTTTTTTCCAATTTAATTTCCTATTTTTAATACTGCAGCCAGATAGGAGAGATTTGAAATCTACCATTATCCTGAAATACTAAGAAAAAAGTTCAAAACTTATATTTGCAGAGCACCGCTTAGTTAACGAATCTCCCTAATTAGACACAGTTGGAAATGATTGCTCTCTGTGATGAGAGTGTTGTGTGTTTCCTGGCATCTCGGTGCCCCCTAGTGCAGCATGCCAGTGAGTGCATCCTTCTGGGCAGGCAATCTTTGTGTTTTTCCTGTCTGATCAGTCCATTTCATGCTTCCCTGGGTTCTGGCGATGTAATTAGACACTGATCCTTGATTCCAACAAAGTCCTTGGTTGGACCTATTTTGCCAAATAGACCCAACTTTTAGAGCAGGTGTTTGGTGGGCTGGAGAGTGCAGAAAGTAGACCTCAGCTGGACTCTTGAGACCCCTTCCAATGGAGACATATGGCCTAGCTCCCAGTGGACCTTGTAGAGAGTTCTGAACACGAACAAATCACCTGCTCTAGTGCAGGCGATCTGTCTCAGGGTGATCGCTGGGACCCCAGGAGTTTCAGTACCTCGCCAATAATCAGAGGAAAAGATTTTGTATCAAGATGCACTCCTACAGTGCAGAGCAACAAGAACAAAGGGCTTTGAGAGAGAGACAAGCTTGGGAAATTTCCTCAAACTCTTTTAGCCTTTATAAAACAGCCTTTGATAAAAAAAAAAAAAGTAATCTTAGACATTTTAAAGTTTTAATACATCATCTATTTTGAAACCTCTATATACTTTAACATGTGATATAAATCTTCCTCTATTAGGTATACTGTGGCCAAAATAGCCATTAGGTGCAATTTAAGGATTATGGAAAGGCGCTCTGAATCTAAAGGCTTGCTCTCAAAACTGTTTTGAAATAATCACAAAATTGTGAGCCATGTATGTGGTCTTCATGAAGTTCTGCCAAAATGACCTTGAAACAAGCTGTTTAACTTCGTTGGGCCTCTGTTTTTCCATCTATAAAGTATTAGTGCCCCTATTTAAAGGGATTACTTAAGGATTCAATGAGATAACATATGCCTGACACATGGCAGATTTCAATAATTGTTACTCCTACCTCCTCCTCTTTCCCTCACCTTCTTTTCTTTTTTTTCTGATTTGAAATAGTCAACACCTGTCTCGAATACCAGACACTAATGGGTAGATGGTGGATTACGATGCCCTCTTTGTGAATTGTCCCCAAAGAGCTGAGACGAAGCCAATTCTCGTCACCATTAGCTTTTGAATATTGGCTAGGAAATCTGTAAGAGAGTGTGGGATAAGCGGGTAGATGTAGCCATTAAAATCTTCAGTGTAGAAACTAACTAATAGGAACATCAAGGTATTGCCTGTTCAGGAACTGCACCTACTTGACTAAGGAAGGAAAGATTTTTCTTCTTTAATGATGATTGTAATTGCAGTTTTGACTGAGGGAGCAGACAAGAGGAAAGAAAAGGCATCCAATGTGGAGAAAGGTCATTTGGTGATTATGGAATTTTTTTCCAGTTATAAATATCACACTTGCTTTTCAGAGTCAGGCTATTTGAAAAACAGATGCTCAGTCTTCCTATGGTGAATTAGTCAACAAACAAAAAAAAAGATTTTAAATTCAGTCTAACAGAAGGAAACTCAGAGCCACACCTACATGCATGCTTGCACATATACACAAACACAAATACACACCTTGGAGATTAAACAGACATTTTTATGCTTTTATGTGTGTTATTTGTTTCGGTGGCCACACTGAAAATTGTGTGGGTTTTGTTATGTGGTTAGGGTTAGTGAGTTTCCATGCAGAGAAGTAAGAGACATTTAATGGTAGTCACTCTTTGATGGTAAAGAAGAATTTGTCTTTTCTCCCATCTATACTCTAGTTCTATCATTACCTTGACACATGAATTGGACAGAAACCCAAAGAACCGTGGAAAATTATGTATTTTATTAAAGTTCTGTGAAATCTTTCCAGATTTTAGACATTATTCTGGAATTGACCAAGGGTGAATTTTACTCTATTTTTATCAGATCTCTGGAATGGAGCTAGAGGAAATCTTACATATGCCTCTGTCCAACCCCTTTATTTTATAAATGGAGAAACTAAGATCTAAAGAGGTCGCAGGGCCAGGGTGGCCTCCCTTATTATTATCTCCCTTTCCTGATGAATGTATCATGTTTGCTTGGTCCATCTCCCCAAGGTAGTGAGTGTTCAAAAGCAATAGACCTAATTTGCATGAGTTTGGCTTTCCTTAGCACCACATCATGGGAAAGTCAGTCAATTCCATTCCTCATTTCCTCCAGAGAATTGCTTCTTCCCAACAAAATTATAATAGAGAGGAAGGGATTACTGAATAAATATATTGTTTTTTAGTAACTTGTTTTTTATTTGACGAAACATTTCATGTTCAAGTTTAAAACTGCAGCCTATTTCTTGACAGTGAAAAGAACTCGCATGTGAATTGGCAATGAGGGTGTTGGGTTTACATTAGGAGGAGAATATGTGTTCTAGTTCTGTGCTTTACAAAAATTCTGGGATTAAATTTTACCTCATGTAAAACCTATTTGGCAACTCATTCAATATTACCCAACAATCAACAAATATTTATTAAGCTCCTCCTACTTTCCTAGCAGTATTTAGAGTCTTAGTATGCATGTATCAGGGAACAAAACAAAGATTCCTGCATTGGAAATTGTACATTCATGTACATTTGTAACATACAGATGAACTATTGCTTTCCAGTACCAAAGTATTGTTGCACAGCATTCTAGTGAAAGTGTGGCATTTAAAAAATTAAAAATTGTCTTCCTGAAATTAAAGGCCTCCTTTCTCAGGGAAATTTTTTGGGCAAGTTGCATGAACTTTGGCACAATACTGCCGCCTTGTGGCTGCTTGAGTAAAAAACCCACATACACCATAAGGTCCGCCTGTCTTTAAGGTTTTTAGGAGAGTTACCCTGTTTGTCAATGGAAGCCTCTGACACAAAATCACCTCGCCAGGACTACTTAGAACCTGATTCCTTCTGATTTTGTCACAGAACGACTGGAAGGGCTCCATCGCTTTTGTCGTTGGAAACCGGATCGAGGACGAGGTTCTCATTCGCGCTCTCACCCTCGCTGTCCAAGTCCCTCAGCGCAGACTCTTCAGTATGGTCTCCTGGCAAGACATCGTCCAGCAGGTACCTGTCCCTTCTCACCCCGACGCCCGCTGGAGACTTCCCTCTTAAAATAATAAAGCAATGAAATCAATAAAACTAACACATTCTTGGGCTGTTTGGTAAGTTTGGGTGCAGGACTTTGCTGAAATACTTAGCTAGAATAAATTTGGAAAGATCTAATCTGGAAGGGGTTGTTTTTTGTTCATGAATGCTGCCCTTTCAATATCCATTCATTCAACAAAAATGTCTGAGGTCATACTAGGCTCCATGCTAGGTTTTGTGAGAAATTATTTAATAAAGGTCTCAATAGCAATAAAAGACAAAACTATTTAATGTTCCAAGGAAGGTCATAACTAACTGGGAAAACGAAGTCTCCAAAGCATCCTAGCTGTCAGAGGTTGGAGGAGAACAATAACACAGAGAACTTCTGTCAGAAGGCACACCCTCACACAATTACTAATGGCTTACCAAAGTGGCTATAAATATTTGAACTAACTGATGACTATCTCTTCCCCAGTCCCTCAAGTCACCTAGGTACTTGAAAGTTACATCTGTCTAAGTATTCCTTAAGTAAGCCCTTCTTTTTCCTTATAAATGAATTTTCTTACAGGTCAATGGATCAAGTGCAATTTTTGGAAGTACATCTAAAAAGGCAAAGAAACCTCTAAGTGGTAATGCTCCCTTGTATTATGAGGTAGGTAAATGTATTGATTGAAGAGATTTTTGTAATTTTTTAAAAAACAGGAACTGAAGTAATAATTTTATAGTCACTTTTTTAAAAAAACTAATTCATTTTTTGAAAGCAAATCCCCTCTCATTGTTGGGGCTGTTTGTTCCTAATGATGGGCATGTAAAAAATCTTTTTACCTTTTAACAAAATCCCCCTTTAGGAAAAAAGTTGTCCCACACTGTCTACACTATCACTGTGTCCAATTGAAGACTGTAAATCAGAAATGTGTGTATATAAAAGTGTTGGGTCGTACATTTTTATGGTAATTACTGAGTGTGTGATGGTATTAAAGGGGGTCGTGTTATTGGTGAATTACCAAGTGTTAGTTTCACCAAAGAAACAATGTAAAAATGCCCCAGAAAGTGCTTCCTGCACATGGCAGAGAAACAACTGGAATAATTTTCCATCCATTTGTGAACTTTGCGTACACTTCACATTCTACTCTAATCAGTGTGAAAATAACAATAATCTTCAGATTAATGATCCATTCCGCTTCTAGCAGATGCAAAAGTCTGGCCTGGCTGGCCAGTGGGTTTGTGCAAAGGACTTAGAACTCGGGCCCAGTACAGGGGCTCTCCTCTTACCCTGCCTTGTTAATATCCAACTTAGAAGAAACTATAAAAACCCAACAATTAATTAGAATATCACTTAAAATTTGTCAGGCACTATTTTTATGACTCTGCAGACCAAAAGCATTAAGATTTTGGGATCTTTCAAAACAAACTTGTTTGCACTTTATTTCAGTGATGACTAATAAAGTTTTTATGTGTCTCGGTTCTTGGATGGTTTCATAATAGGCTCTGTACTGTTGCCTGAGTACTATCTGAACAAGCTCCCCTGGATTTATTTACGATTGCCAATACTGTGGATTTTGTAGCATTAACTCTTGCCGCACTGCTCCTGCTGTCATGGAAAACTCGTTCTGCACTGTTAAGGTCAGAGAACGTGCCTTCTAGCTTTTGTTAGGATGTCCCACATGTGTGTGCCCAAGTTGAAACATTATGTGATACCTGGGTTTAAAATATTGGAAGTTTTCTTCTGAAGTAGCCATAGAAATCCCCGTCCAATTCTCAGGCCTGGGATCAATTAGCCCCCACTCCCCCTCCCACCCAAAGACTCTTTCTTCTTCAAAGATGCTCAGAGAAAATCAGAGATGATAACGGGCCAGTTTTTACATCTGATGTGGACAGGCATCTTGACTTGGATGTGGGATAGCCCGATGTTACAGACCCCGAGTTCAATTAGAAAGCCATTCCTCTCCAATCTGTGCTGTGACTCCGAGGAGCCTTCACTCAGAGGAGGTCCATCTCACATCTGGCTCCCCCACATTCTTCCAATGGAGCATTTGGGCAACAAGCTTCCCACACCGGCTCACAGATGCTCTTCTGAATGGTTTCAGAAGAAAAGGGAAGGCAGGATGAGCACCAGAGAGATGGACCTGGGGTGCACCAAACCTGCATTAATGTCAGTCACTGTAGCAAAAGTGGATCAAACGCATAAAACAAATGCAGGTTCCTGGGTAGTATCAGCCAAGGCCAGCATGCACATCTGGAGAAGAGGACACATCTCCAACCTCAGTCCCTCCACACTTAGGACCTGTTTTGGCCCCTCTTCTCAAGAGAAGTGAAATGCTACAGCCAGTGCCTACTGAGAGTCTCAACGCAGTTAGGAGTGGTGGCCGTGAAAGAGGCCCAGAAGCCGAACTCTGGACCTTCCAGGCATGCAGACAGCCTGCTCTTAACTCTATTTCTGGTTAAAATCTTTCATGGTCGGTAGCAGCTAGGACAGTGGCCACAGGTGAATTCCTCAAGAGCCTGTTTAGGAAGTCTTTTATTTTTCTTCTCAAAGGAAACTCTGCGGTGGGGGAAGAAAAGATAATCCAACAAAATTGCTTCTGTTACATGGGAAATTCACAGAGTTCTGTTTCCTTTTAAATCTCCATTTTGGAGGAGGGAGAACTCAAAATAGATAATATAAAGGCTATGCACTGACACTGACTTCTACTTGTAGGATACTCTCATCAGCCTTAAATCAGAGCCTCTTCGTTCATACTTTAAACACAATTCTAACCTATTTGGCTTTCTGGTTTCCCAATCTGCGGTCGATTAAGAGCAGAGAATTCAAGTGAAACTTCACTCTAATGCAGTTGATCCATGAGTAGCAAAAGAGTGTCAGAACCACATTACATATTTCCAATAACGACTTGAAATGTCTGGGCCAGCAAAGACCACATTCCACAGTGATTTGCTCAGGTTTCATTTGGATGGCTTGGTGCTATGTACACACAGCCTCATTTTGAAATTATGTAATTTCCCCCTGAAACTTTAGAGTTTCATCTAGCCACTGTGCTGTGTTTGTGAGATAGTCTTTATTTATAAATTATCATTCTTTGAAAACATGCTTAGGTTTTTGCTAATGTGATTCCACAGAGACATAGCAATCCATGTGTTGTTTCACCTTCTCTTTAGGGAAATTAGTTTTGCTCTAGAAGGAACTACAACAAAGACCCACGTGGGAATGGGAAGAGAATTTGCCCCTTTGTATATGGTCTCAAGAATGCTAGCTATCACTTCATAATTCTAGTAGTAGTGGTGGTGGTGGTGGTACTATTTCATCATGAAGATGAAGATGGTTATGATCCCATACACTGGCATTACATATAATTTCTACCATGTCATTCTATATGAAGATGTGTGCACATATGAGAATGGATATATAGACATTTCTTGCATTATTAGTGACCAGTTTTACTAAATGACAAACAATAAATACATTCTTATTCAAGCACTAGGTGTCAGACTGTCTAGACAGTGGAAGGAGTGGAATATGAATAGTATAAAGAGTCTAACCTCAAGAAGTTTAAGGATTAGTTAGGGGGAAGAAAAGAAAAGAAAATAGATATGCCTGACACAGAGTAGGTATTCAATATATGTTTGTTAAATTGTATAACACAATGCAGAAAATTGTCAGTGAAGTCTATGCGGGAGAAAGGGAGTGTTCTGGGCATTTTAAGGAAGATGAGGTTAGGTCAGCCTAGGTGGTGGGAGCTAGAGGAGCCTTGTGGAGAAGGTGGCATTGGAAAGGAAGTGGAGCTGAAAATTTTGATCTTTTAAATATATTGGCCCAATTGACCCATACTACAGTTAAAATTATATACATATATATCCCCATTTTACATAGAGGGCAATGGGAGCATAGAGAAGGTAGGAATTTTAGTCATGAGAAAATTTGAGGAACTTGGATTTGATGAATTTACCATAGTTAAATACATAGCCTCAGATTTTTCCACTTTGCCACATACCCAGTCTTCTTTCACTGGGCTCAAAGCTGCCCACCCTTGGATAGAGATAGGTCTTGACTTTCAAATATGGGGGCGTTCTATGTAGAGGGAACAAACAGCTCAAGCAAAGGAACAGAAATGGAGGAGAAGACAGGCTGCATATGTGCTAAATTTGTCCTTACATTGTACCATGCATACAAATTAGGAAAGGTAAACCCTGTACGTATGTTAATTACAACTTTAAAATCCTAAAGGTGGAATTTTATGTGAAACCATCTAAAACACTGGGGGGAAAAAATCCATGCTTTAATATTCATGCCTGCGTTTAAATTTATTCTCTAAATGTGCACAAATATTTTTGTGTGTGCTTCACGGTCCACATACTGGACTTCCCTAGGGGCTCAGATGGTCAGTAATCTGCCTGCAGTGCAAGAGACCCAGGTTCAATCCCTTGTCGGAAAGATCCCCTGGAGAAGGGAATGGCTACCCTCTGCAGTGTTCCTGCTTGGAGGATTCCACGGACAGAGGAGCCTGAAGGCTACAGTCCGTGGGGCTGCGAAGAGTCAGGCACGGCTTACTGACTTTCACCGGCTCATTCATTCATGGTCCACATAGAGAATCTGACCTGTTCGTTGGCCAGTGTACTCAGTTCTGACCAAAACCAAAAGGAAGATATTGATGGACATTCAGAGCCAACTGAAGTGTTATCTATGAGAGAGGTCTGTGTGTATCATACATGCAAAAATTCTCCCAGTTGTGAGTAAATCTGATACTCAACGGTAGATGAGCATTTATAAGTTCAGTTCAGTTCAGTTCAGTGGCTCAGTCATGTCTGACTCTTTGCGACCCCATGGACTGCAGCACGCCAGGCCTCCCTGTCC